AAATATGTTAAATAGTTAATAGTTACAGTTTATGTTAAAAGTTTAAATTTAAAAGTTATTCGAAAGTTGTATTCGAATAGTTCTTGAAGATGGCCTATTGAAATTGGGCTGAAAACGTTTGAAATTAAAGTAATAATAAGCTCAGCAAGAGTTTGGTGTTTTGTTTATATTTGTGTGATAAAGCAATGTCCCGAGGTTGCAAGTACATCTTCTATGTTCTTCGGTTTATAGAATTGAGTTTGTTCTCAAAATCTGATGGGACAATTTTGATAAAACTTTGCCATTTTATATTGATTGTGATGAAGAATCCAGAAATATAATAAATTTAAATGTAGAAAATAGGGGTCCATGATTTTGTTTTTGATATAAAGTGGAGTTAACGTAACAATGTCTGTGCTCCTTGAGCATACCTTATGGAATTTACAGGTCAAATAAAAAAAACAGCATTGTGTATAACTAACAGAAAATAGACGCAAAAAACAACAGAACACAAGAACAAAGCAATTGGCATTGAATGCTTTTAGTTTTGGTTTTATTTGTATATGGCAATGCTACACGTGACCGATCTGCTGAGGGGGAATGCCTCCCAGAAGGTCTTTTATGGAAAACTAGCCCCTGTTTAGGGTTATTAATGTGAAATAAATCTGGAAAACTCCATGTGGCCAGCCCATTAGCCAGGTGTGAACTCACAACCAACTACTAGTGCTCAGTGGTTTTACCAGTCATTTCTTTTTTCCTTTTTGTAGTCTTTTGTTTTCTTTCACTTATTTTGTTTTTATTAAACAGCTGTCCCTGAGAAGTCCCACCTCCACCCTTACTGTGCCTACAGAAGTTTACCAGCAAGTCTGTTTCCTTGTAGTCTGGTACGAACGTACCCGATGTTTCAAGGTCCCCTAAGTCCAAAGATGTAAAAATCTTGGGGGGTTATTTTTTGACTGATTGCAATACTTTCCCTGTTATATATAACAGCTGGAAAAGTAAAAAAGCAAGAATGCGTAAATCTTTTTGAGAACAAACATAAAAGGTAACGATAAACTGTAATTGTTGTTATTCATTGAAAAATCTTTAAAATTTCACATGTTTCTGCAATGTCAAAACATTAGCTAAACAATATGCAGCAAATAAAGCATGTAATACATTGGAACTTTTTGCTAACTGCTAACTAAGTTAGACACCTGTACAATTACCAAAAACAGAAAAATTATTCTTCTTGAATCAAGGTTGCTTGTTGTTCTCTATTATATGTGTTTGGTTAGCACAATGTTGCTGTTGAGAACGTATCATACAGGAACACTTTAAGAGGAAAAAGGTTGCTTTATTGACTTGGACGGATATGCATTTCGGGCTTAATGCCCCTCTTCAGTCCTATTTTAAAGAAACATTGAAAGTAGATGGAAAATAATAATAAGAATTTTTAAGTAAATAGTTTTGAAATATTCATATGTTTATGTTTTTATGTCAGAAACATTAAACTAAAATTATTTGTTTTCTAAAATAAACTTTTATGGTCATTTGAAAGAAATTTGTGGGCTTTACCAAATTTTTTTTATAAAATATGATGGTTTGTAGGAGAGTATATAAAGGAAAAGAAAGGTAAATTTCCTAAAAATGTTGAGAGAGAAGACAATGAAATTCAATAACATTACCAATCCAATCACAAATGTTTCTACAGAGGCCTTGCACAGATAAAATGCCATAAACAAACTTATAAAATTTTATTAAATACATAATGGAAATACCAAATGATATCAAAAGAAATATTTATATTCTTTAACTAAATATTTTGAAAAAATTCTTTCATTAATTCTCTATTATACATTTATAATTTTTTTAATTTGAAAATTAAAATGTTAGTTATAGCTTTATTGCATAACTATATATTTGATGCATAAATAAACAATTCCTTTAATTTATTCTTTTAATAAAAATTTTTAAAACGTTGATTTATGTTTAATTTCTGAAACTTAATTTTTCTTAATTCTTTAATAGCTCACCCAAGTTGCATGGAATACAGTGCAGAATTGGCTGAACGCTCAAAAATGGGCCCATGGCAGTGCATTGATTGCAAAACTTGTATACTGTGTGATGATTCCAAGGATGGTGTAAGTATAAATTTTATATATTTTTATGTTGATTTACATAAATAATTTTAAATTAACATACACACTAAACAATGAAAATATGTACAGTACATATAGAAATATTAGACTTCATCATTATATCCTTTTTCCATTCATTTGAAATTAGTTTTTTGAATTCACTTCTTCCATTTTGTATATCATTTCTATTGTAACTGTATTCTTCTCCATGTTTTCTGCTTTCTGTTTCATGCTAGTTATTTTTAGTCTTATTCTTTTCTGGAATTTTCCGTCTTTTGATTATTTTATTTGTCTTCATTCTATTGTTATTATATGTCTAAGTTGTCTGTCTTGCATTTTCTTTTCAATAATGCCCACTTTTAAACTCTCTGATTTTTACTGGTAATTTTCTAAATTTAAAGTAAACAGTTAAACTTTGTAAAAAAAAAATTTTTGATATTTTTAATTAATTTTTTCTTTTCGTATAATGCCCATTAGAATACTAAACTTATTATAATAAACTTGAAATGAAATATTCAAAATAATAACTTAACAACTGCTATTAAGTTTACAAATAAATTAATAACAAATGTTAGAATACCTAATATAAATTAAAAGATATTTCACAAAAATTGAACTGAAAATATTGAATATGATCATTGTATTTAAATTAAATTTAAATTGGCTTTAAATATATAGTTTAAAAAATATATGTGTATATACTATGCATATAGATGCACATATATATATATTTATATTATTTATTTGTTGTGATAAAAAAGTATTTTTTTATAGAGTGTAATTTTTAAAGTTCATTGATAATTTATCCCTATTATCTGTTTAGTCTAAATAGTTAATAGTTTTACTATAAAAACTCTCAAAACATTCAAATATAAAAAATATATTATATGAACTGTTAAATTGTGAATATGTTTTATTCTGAAAAACTACTTATTCTTAATTTCATTACACATATATAGAATAAATGTGCAAATTTAAAATATCTTTTGTAAGGAAGAGACAATTCAGATTCCTAATTTATATAGAAGAAAAGCAAAAATCTCTCATAAATCAACAAATAACAACTTTAAACAAAACATAACAGGTTAAAGTATAGATGTCATTTACTTTTATTTCACTAGTAACATTTTCAAGCCTTTTATTCCAGCATCAACTGCATTATAACAATTTGTGTATTTCAGTCTGTTTTGTTTTTAAATGTTTTTTACATAACTTTTTTATTAGAAAAAAAATAATCATTTACATAGTAGATGATATATCTTCATTGGTTTAATTTTGCATTATTGTTTAAAATAAATACAGCAATAAATTTTGTGTATTCATAAATATACACACAAAAATTATTTACTCAATGTCAACTTATGTATAACTAAAGATTTTCATATAACAAAATTTGTTTTGTGATAAAATTATGCATGCTTTATTTTTTCATATTACTATTTTGGTTTTAGTGATTTAAGTACTTTATTATTAAAAAAATTAACATATAATTTTATATTCTTGTAAACAAATAAGAAAATTATACATTATATCTGACATCAAACAATATAGTTTATATACTTTAAAGTGAAAAAATAAAGACCAACTATTAATTTAATGACAATATATAATTAATTATTTAAATGGACATTTTATTAAAAAATAAACAGTAGGGAAGAAGAATTGTTTTAAATATGTAAATCATCTTTGTAATAGATTCAATTAGAAGGAAAAGCTATATCTCGTCCAAATTTTTGGCTCAAAAATTAAGTTTTTAGTTTATGTAGGGTCATTCCATGTCAAGTGATCAAATCACTTACCTGACCATCTCAGATTTGGCTCAAATTTTGTATGCAGCTTCCTAAACTAACCAAAGGAAATTCTACAAAATCAGAGAACTCAATATGCAATGCTTCAGTTGTAGGAGCCCCTTAAGTGGAAATGGTCAAAATATCTTAAAAGCAATTCAAAACGTTTTTTCATTTTTGACATGCTGCCATTCAAAAAATTGTCAATCTTAGTTGATAGTTTCTTGAAAATTGCAGCAGCACTTCACAGCTTTGTATGGTGTAAACTGCATAAATTTGAATGGTCAAGCTTGATCAATTTTCTTACCAGTTGTAGTCAAAGTTGGAAAGAAAACTCACAACAAAAAATTTTCAATTTTTAGAGCTATATTTTTTTATACCATATTTGCTAATATAATCTCAGCAAATATGATACAGAGGTTCCCCTACTTACAAACAGGTTAGGTTCCCAAGGTTTCGTCATAAGTCAAAAACTAACCTAGAAAGTACATTTGTACACAGAATAACAATGTATTGTTAATGTTTGATTCTTCAATGTACTTAATAGAATACATTACACTCCTTTACCCATCCTTTACTGCTAGTAGTGTGTGTTTCAAATGTTTTTTTCACTTAAAACACTTAGTTTCATAATATCAAATTTAGTTTCCATGGTAATAGATTGACATTTATCTCCACTGCTGGATTTATTATTACATTTTAGACAAATTTTTGGAGCACTAATCACAAAAGTTTATAAAAATTGCAAACAATAGTGAAAACCTCCATTATTCCAATGTTACCACTTCATCACTCAATACCACTTCACCAGCAGTGATGGAACCTCAGAATTTGTGTGAAAATGACAATATGCAATAGAAATAAATTTACATGAATTATTTATTAAAAACTTATTATTTATTATGGGCTAAAGACTGATTTCAACACCACCCCACAAGTGGCAAGAGAACTTAAGAATTTGTTTGAAATTTAAATTTTAGGTCACATGGTCAAATTGTTCATAAGTTGAACGTTTGTAAGTAGAGGAGCTCCTATATATCGTTTAAATGAGCATAAATTTAATTTGAAAAAAAATGAGAGAAAGCCAAAGAAATTATTTCTGGATTATCAAATAAATTATATGTAATCCATTCTACAGATTTGTTCACTTATGTTAAGAGCATTAAGGTTTATATAGATTTTTTAATGAAAAGTATTAAATGCTATTTTACTCAAAAAATATGATGATAAAACATTTTAATAAATTGTTTATGTTGAAAAGAATTTGTTCTAATTTAAAGTAAAATAATTTCTGATGTCATTGTCACAGTTTCAATGAATTCAGTTTTTTTAATTTTGATCTTCTCTTAATAAAATAAATTTTCTTTTATTTATAAGTCTTTGCACAGATTTGGTCTATCATATTATACAGAAATATTTGCAAGGATTTCATCACCTCAAATTGTGATGAAAGTAATTTTTAGTAGAGCAATCTGTAACAAAACAATTTAAATAATAATAAATGCTTAAAAAGTAATTTTATTGAATTATGAGAAATCTCTCTATTTTTCAAAAAGTATTTCAAATTTAAAAATGGATTATCATAGAGAGGGAACATTAAGAGTATGGTTGAAAGTTAAAATTGCATGGTATCATCTGTTATGAGATTTTATTAAAAACTGATTTTTTATAATATTAATTAATACAAAACACAAAAACCTTATTTTTGCAGTTTGATGAATTTTTTAAAAAATTGTAAATACCAATAATTAGTAAAATTTTTATTAAATCTGATTGCACTCAAGAACATATAAACCAATCTATCACTAAAAACACTATTACACATTAAATTTCACATTCAGTTACATCCATTTTGGAAATAGAAAATTAATAACACAATTTAATTAAGAACAAAATTAATAACACAATTTAATTAAGAACACAGGATCTAAATAATAATGTACAACTAGCTAAAATTGGCTGTAGTGCTGTTACCATTTGATAGGTCTCTCTTCACCCAAATATTGGTAATTAAATTTATTTTGCTTCCAACATAAAGTATAATGGTGCATGAATACGTTGAAAGTATTTGAAAAATCCTAATAATGATATTATTTGCCATCTAATTTGATCTTTCTTTGAAGAATAATTATTGTCTCTAGAAATGCAGTTGACTCTATTTATCTGAAATCTCACAAGAATGAGAAAAAATTCAAGATATAGAGGTTCCTACACAGTAAATAGTAATAGGTTTGATTGAAGATATGGTATATTATTAATACAGTAGCAATTACAGGACATATCTGTATTAGATATAAATTAAACATTTTTGACATACCTTAACAGAAATAGTTTATCAATAACTTCCAATGCCTGTCTTTCTTCAACCAATAAGACACAAGCCAAAATCTTAGCCAATCATAGAAAACAGCATTAAATGCAACTATGTATTGTATTGCAAGAGATGTTTTTCAACTACAATTTATGCTATCAAAATGTAGTTGCTGAACTTTGAATTTGTAATTGAAACTTTGGTCCATAATTTGAGATATAGATGTTGAGATACGGAGAAAATTAATTGAGACAAACATGGAATATATATTGAATTTTGGCTGAAAATGTAGGGGAGAAATAAATTTTGAAATAAGGAGGTTTTGGAGATAAACATGTTTGAGATAGATAGGTTCAACCATATATCACTTTAAATTGGTTATCAGCAACTGTCCCCCTTGGCTTTGACAATGTAATTTTATATTCCTGTTTTCTATCTCTTGTCATTTTGAAATCCTAATTAAACTGACATTTCATGAAGAATAATATTCAAACTAAATTGGACCAGTAAAAAGATGGGAATGAACTATTACTGTTTGCATATTGTTATCATATATCATTTTAGTACTAGTGTACAAGAGATTATGGAGTATGTTAGTATTCAGAAAGCTTAAAGCTTGCATCTCTGTAATAAAAAATGAATGTATAGGCTCTGCTGGAAGCCTACAAAGTTCCATTGCAGATTACATCCAGAAAAAGATTGCTCATCACTGATTTAAATATTATATTGTAGTATAAATGAAATCTATTGAACTACCTTCCTCATCCCAATAACCTCCTGCTAGAGTGCCAGTTAAGTCATACAAAAGGGCGTCCTTCCCAGGAAGTTCTTTTATGGGAAACTGGCCCCTGTTTAGGTATTAGACACATGAAGAAAACCCAGAAAACTCCATGCAGTCAACCATT